CAGAAGCAGTTTTATGCCTCTGAGGTCTTAGCGAATTGGCATCAGTTACACTTACCTGTCTGTTTCCTTCACTGATCTCTTTTAAGCTATTTCTAAACCTTCCCCCTGCCCATATTGTTCCTCTGTATTAAAAATATAATATTACCAGACACAGAATTTTACTTAAAAATACCTACTCACAGGAAAATAATGAGACTTTCTCAAAGAAAGATCACTCCTATATTTTTGGCAAAGGGAAGGGCTCCTCCAAGAAGCCTTTCAGAGAGCTACATTGACACATTTGTACAAAAATAAATGAAATGGTATTTATCATAATTATGTGTCTCTTGCAGGATTCTATAACCCTTAAACTAACATTCTGCAGAAGGCATGCCAATGTATTCAAGAGGGATCATATATAATTTTGATAGTTTTGATATATTAATAGGATATATACATCAGGCCTTCTTTTTAAAAAGTGAAATAAACATATATGATCTTAGAGGCAAATCAATGACTTTTATATTTTTGAAACCTCTAAATTAACTTTTTAAACCAAATGAGACTATTATATAATAGTCATCATTTTTTAAAAGTTTCTACTTCCATTTCTTCGCCTCCTGATTAAGTTTATTTTCTCCTGTATCACACCACTCAAATTTCTAGTAACCTCTTAACTTCCAAAAGGAATAATGGTGTGTTCCTCATGCCCTATGACTTCCTACCAGGATTTGCTTACAGTCACTATCCCTGAGTGGAAACTATTTTTCTCTGATCCCAAGACCCTAAGCAGAGCATTGTACACACGTTGTACTCTACTTCCAACCAACCCTTGAAAGCACCAGGCACTCTCCATGTTGCATTCTGGCCAGAGTACACTGCTTTTAATTCCTTTCATGTGACTCTTTGACTATCCTTATTCAGTGCCCTACTTCAGCCTGTTTCATCAGTCTGCAATTATCTCTTTCTTCTTTACCTCCAGTTGAAATTTTACTTCTATTTCAATATCTATTTTAAATACTCTCTCCTTTTAATGATTATACTCACACACACTTAAGTGCACACACTTGTACACACACTCACTCTCTAGGTAGAAATGGTTGATTCTTGTCTTGAATTCTGCTTATACTCTTATGTAGCAAAAGTTTTCAAACAGCCAATATATAAACTGCAATTGGACTTATCGCTGTATTGAAGGCCCAGATCATTATTTTTTTTTAAAAGAAATTGGCTACATTCTAGAATGCCTAGAAAACCAAACTAGATTGTATGCTTAAAAAATTAAATTATATCTTAAAAGTACATACAAATATTTCTAATAATTCAAAACTAAGAAAAAATACTTTATATAAATGTAGCATTTTACCATTAGCCAACATTTCAATTTTCTAATGTATTAGAAATAAATGTTAAAGGTTTTGGGGGGTAATAATGGCCTATGTTTTAACTTTGTCTCAATGTTTATTAATATGTGTTACTTCTGAAATCAATTATTTCCATAATTGTTAAATATGTCTTTATAATGTTTACAATCGTTAAATATGTCTTTATAATTTAAAAAATCATATGCTGAAAGCAAAACCATTGGCAAAATGAACATGTTGGATATTTTTAAAACATATAAGAGAGAAAGAAAGGATTATAGCACCATAGTAGAGACCTTAGTGCTTAATACAATTCTATGTGTTTTCCCACAATTCCACTTTACTATTAAGTGCAATTGTAAAATGATTCTGAATATGTAGCAAGATGAATGTCAATTCTAGGCAAAAGCAAGGAAGAGGTAGCATGAAATCTTCTAGTTATTTCTTCCACTACCACAGTAACCAATGAAACAATGTGCTACAGATAGTAGAGCCTCCATCAACCTGAAGCAGAATATCCTGCTGCCTACAATACACATAAACATATTGACACAAAATTTTTCCTTTTTAAATTTTTAACTGACACATAATATTTATACATATTTACGGGATACAGTGTGATGTTTCAATACAAGTATAAAATATGTAATGATTAGGGTAATTCGCATATCTATAACCTCAAACATTTAACATTTCTTTATGGTCAAATATTCTAAATTTTCTTTTCTACCTATTTAAAAATATACAATATATTATTGTTAACTAAAGTCACCTAACTGTACAACAGAACACTAAACATTATTCTTGCTATCTCATTGTAACTTTGTAGCCACTGGACAACCTCTTCTTATTCCTCCACTTCCAAATCCCTTTAGGCCTCTGCTAGCAGCTATTCTACTCTTTAATTCTAGGAGATCAACTTTTTAAGATTCCACTTATGAGATCATGCGGTATTTGTCTTTCTGTGCCTGGCTCGTTTCACTTAACATATTGTCCTTCAGGCAATTTCGTGTTTCCTCAAAACACAGAATTTTATTTTATTATTATTATTATTTTTTTTTACGGCTGAATAATATTACATTGGGTAAATATACCACATTTTTTTTTTTTTTTACCTATTCTTCAGTTGATGGACACTTAGATTCCATAACTTGGCTATTGTGAATAGAGCTACAATAAATATTAGAGTTCAGATATTTCTTCATCATATTTATTTCATTTCCTGTGAATATATACCCAGTACTGGGATTGCTGTATCATATTAAAGTTCAATTTTTAATTATTTGAGGGATCTCCATACTTTTTTTCCATAATGGCTGCACTAATTTACATTCCCACCAACAGTGTGTTAAGGATCCCCCTTCTCGCCACACGGCCTCTCCAACATTTGTTAATTTTTGTCTTTTGATAATAGCCATTGCAGGTGAGGTGAGATGATATTTTACAGTGGTTTGTTTGTTTTGAGACAGGGTCTCACTCTGTCACCCAGGCTAGAATACAGTGGTGCCATCACAGCTTATTGCAGCCCTGACCCCTCCATCTCAATCAATCCTCCCATCTCAGCCTCCTAAGTAGCCACTTACTAGATACTTAATCTCTGTGTGTGTGTGTGTGTATGTGTATGCCTGTGTGTGTTTCTCATAATGCCTTTCCATAATGTGAGGAACATATTGGAAAGGTCCCCGGAATTACAGTAAACACAATACATTTAAAAGAAAACAATGCATTTCATAGTTCTAGATATTATCTTTTTTCTTTCTCTTTCTAGTTCTTGTTTCATTTTCTTGCCTTTTTAGACTAAATCTTTGACTCACTTTTTTAAGCTCCAAAAATGCAAAAATTTCTTCTGAATTTACTAATTTAACTTCTTTTGTTATATTCGCCCACACATTATATGCAGATCACCATTCTGTCTGTCTGGAATAATCCTTCCCCTGATTTTTGCCTGGTTATGTACTACCGATTTTTCAGCTATCGACTGACATGACTTTGCATTGGAAAATCTCTTTGTATCCCATCTGAGTTGGGTCCTGGACTTAAATACTCACTCATAATTTGCATTCTTAACTCTTTTCATTCTTAACAAAAATTGAAAATTAAAGTATTATTTTATATTTAATAAGGCATTTCTGTATCCACCATTAAGCCATATGCTATCTAAAAACAAGCACCATGTGTCATTGTCTCCAACATATCTTGTCACAGGAAAGCACAGTGCTATGATGAGAACATAATAGATACACAAAAGCATGTGATGGATAACTGCAGTACCTCATAATCAAATATTTTTAAAGTGGTATTTCTAGGCTAATCATACTTAGCATCATTGTACCAATTTGTATGTTCATCTTAGTATTAGCTAATTTTGATCATTTTTTCAAAACACACTGCTATTCTATAGCTTTCACTTTTCTGAATTAAAGTTTTCTAAAAGATGAACATTTCCATAACTTTAAAAAAGGCACTATCAATTATTCTAACAGCATTCAGCATAAAAGGCAACTTAATTTGATTAATTTTGGATTTAGTTAAGTTAGAAATTGCCAAATTATAGTATATAACTGAATTTTATGTATGTTAGATATTTACAAGTTATGCATTGAATTCAAGTTTTAATATTTAACATCTGGTAACTTTTACAAAACAGATATTTTGTTGCTATATTTCAAAGTTTCCTACTTTATTGCATTTTATTTAGTTTAAATAAATAAATAAGTGAAATACAGGATGCAGATAATAACAACAAAACTCACAGCTAACATTTATCATGAGCAGGTATAAGATAAGTGATTGACATATGCTATCTTATGTAACCCTCACAACTACCCAGAGGGGTAAATGCTACTATTCTCATTTAGACATGAGGAAACAATAGTCATACCTAGGTATCCATTTCTAAAAAATGAGCTTAACTCAAATGCTTGAGGCCCTACCATGATGCACCATGACTTCATTGCATTAAACACAGTTTAAAGTTAAACTACACAGATCCTTAAAATTTATCTGTGGAAGCAGGAGAAATAAAACTAAGAAGAATGGTTGGTTTTATTAAACTCCCTTTCCTAATGCCACTGAGCAGTACGACAGGTTTATAATTAAAATTAATGAAACTTAACATTGGCTTTATCCTTCTATGATTCCTGCAGGTAGCATCCTTCTCTACCACATAGCACAACATTATGGACAACAGCATGAGAATCATCTTTAATTCTGCCTCCTGTTTCCAGTAACTCCAGCAATAGGAGTCAATGTTGAAGATAATATGCAAATAAATCACTAATAATTCAACATTACCCCTAAATCGGCTAGGAAAGAGCATAAATTATTCTAACATACAGTCCAGTAAATCCTTTGTTTGTTTTTGGTCTCTGATGCGTAACCATTAAAGATGTACCTTATTAAGAAATACTTAGGTAACATTTCTAGACATAAATGTCTTCTATTTTTCCAAAAACTGTCTTTTAAACAAACTCCTATTCAGTTATCTTTACATAGTTGAGTAGTATAGGATATTTGTTAAACATAAATGGAAAAAAAAATCCATATTCTTCAGAAACAAAATATTATTCATAATAGAAGATCAAATCAAGACCTTTTGCTTCTCCATAATATTTTATTACTTCTCTGTTTTTCTTCTTTCTGACACTTCAGGTGAAAGCTGACAGCACACCTCAGAACATTTAAGTTATAATTGGATGGTACCAAAATGTTTAGAGTTTGAAAAGTTTCAAGGTGTTTCTCATAAGCATATGCTATTGGAAACTACTCTTAAGAGGTAAGAAACCTAAATAAATAAAGTCTATTTTTAAAATCCCATTTTTCTACATACTCTTCCATAGCAAATTTCATGTATTTCCCATGATACTAATTCTTGATTCTCCCCATACATATACATTACAAAGAGGTCATTAGTACTCTAATTATATTTTGTCCTTCTCTTTGGAAACTGTTTCTGTCAGATATTGTAATTATTTTACTTTCTAATTATAATACAATAATATTTTGCATTAAAAATTAATAAACACTTAGAATGTACCAGGTAGTGTTCCAAAAAACTTTTCCAATATTAAGTCTACAGCACTATTACTATCTTCATTTCACAAACAAGGAACTTGGAGCATAGAGAAGGTGAAATAACTTGACTAAAAATCAGTCAGCTATTAGGTAGCATGGACATGATACAACCCCAGAGCAGCATGGTGCTTGACTAATAATAACAAAATAATGAGTTAATAGTCATATAACAATTAGAACAGCTCTGGCAAGTGTTAAGTAATTGCTTACCTTACTATTATCATTATGATCGTTTGTATTATTATTTACTGTGTGATTACCATGTACTAGGCATAATGCTAAGAACTTTACATAGTTACATGGTTGTATATGCTTTATTTCATTTTCACCTCACAATATCCCTGTGAGATGAGAACATTTATTGTTGTAAGCAACTTGTTTCAGTCACCCAATCAATAAGCAGATGAGCCTGAACTAAACCCCATAGTTAAAACAATGGCCTTTTTCTTTTTCATTTTGTATCTTGTACAGGATTTAATAATAGTTTTCTCAAACAGTAGTAAACTATTATTTATTTAATTGAATGGAATTGAATTTGTACAGTATTTAGAGCCGCCATATATATGTGTGTGTATATATATATACACACACACACATATATATATGTTTGTGTCTGTCTTATTTAATATCTCTTAGCCTGATATTCTTAAAAAAAAATATCAGTTTAGTTAAATAACAGTTTATCTCTTTGGGAAATGTAAGGGAGAAAACATCCAGAATTGCAACATTACTGTCTTTTCACCAAATACAGAATATAGGTGTGGTAGGCAGCTTCTAAGGTGGCGGCCAATGATCTCTGCCTCTTGGTATTCCTACTGTTGAGTCTGGGTTGGATTTAAAGACTTGTTTTTAATGAATGGAAAATATCAGAAATAATGGGATATCACTTTTGAGATTAAGGTATAAAAATAAAGTATCTTTAGCCTTGAGCTCTGAGTGTTGCTATTTCTCTCTCCAACCCCCTATCTCAGTGGAAAAAGCAGTCCATTGTGAGCAGCCCTGTGAGGAGAGCGGTCCATCTGAAAAGGAACTGATATCTCTCGTCAACAGCCAGTAAAATTCTGAGGCCTGCCTATAGGTGAGTGAGTGAGTGTGAAAGAGTGTCTTTTGAGGCCTGCTGTCAGTCCCTTTGACAAGTTTGGAGGTGGATTGTCTCCCACTTCAGCTTTAAGATCACTGTGGCCAGCTGATTCACTTCAGCCTCTTTAGAGACCTTGAGCCAGAGGAGCACAACTGAACTACATTCACAATTGTGAGATAAGATTTTTGTTAAGGCACTTCATTTGGGGATACATTTTTATGCAGCAATAGATAACTAATAATTTATATTTTGTTTATGTCGTATACGTAAAATCCATTTTCGAATCCTCACATAAACTTCAATCAGAAATGTATGCAGATAGAACCAAATAAAAACAAAAGCCTACATTACTGAATACTGGGAAAGATGTGATTTTTATGTAAATGCACCATATGTACAGATAACAAAAATGTGAGCAATATGAATCCTGAAATGAAAGACAGTAGCAGGCACTATGAATTACATGTTTTCATGTACAGGGATGCTTCTCACACAGAACAACTCTCCACAGCATATTCTAGGTTAAATGTAGGAAGAATTTTTTTTTTTTTTAAATAAAGGTGCTTGATAATTCTCCTTATTAATGCCAAATATGTCAGTAGGTTTTCCATAAAAAATAAGGAATGGTACATCATTTTCAAACTTTTTATTTATAAAACTAGAAATATTCATTACAATTATAAAAATTGGTTTGGATAACAAAGCATATAAAATTGATATGGATGAAAAAGCATTGTTAATATCTTATTCTAACTATTTAATGGGATGATAAGATTTTTGTTTCAGCAGTTCTAATAGAACAAAGTCATTAATTAGGGAAATGATAGTCCTTCAAGAACATCATTAGAATGATGCACCTCTGCTTTCAACAAAGACAGAAGCCAGAGAACTGAAGTAACTCAAATTTGATACAGATTCACAAAGGATCAGAAGTTCAAAACATAGTAATGCATATGAACATTATATTAGAGACCATTTCATCCCAAACTGGTATTTTACCTAATAATATATAAGCAGTTATAATATTTTTAAAAATGATTCATGCTCAAATACATTTGAGAAAAAAATGCTGGTTAGAGAGTCTTGTTAATTGTAGGGCTCTCCTGTGCTTTAAATTACTGATAGGCACGATTAATCTCTAAGAGTGAGCCAAGAAACAGCATTTCCTACCTTCATTTGAGCATTGAGAATTTTTGTGAAGGCTAAACAATTAGCCTTGCCCAGAGTAATGTTCCATGGAACAATAAATGAGGAACACTCTTAAGTATCATAATTCAAAGAGTTCACAGTAAGCTACAAGAAAGCAGGAACCACCTTTAGCCACTCTCAGTGTATTCCCAGTACTAAGTACAGTACTGACATTGCAGGCTTTTGCTAAGAAATTACTGATGAATGAATGGATACCCCCAAACTGTAAGTTTGAAAGTATTAGCTATATGCATATAGTATTTTCAATTGTAGTCTTGCATCAAATAATGATTTATTTCTCTTCATCTTTCCACCAGCATCTCAATCCAAGGTCACTTCAGAAATCTGGAGGCTTGTGTAACAGCACACAGGATCAAAGGAAGGACCCTCCACTCAAGAATAATCTGTCATGATTGTGGAGAATATCAACATTATCCAAGACCTTATTTAGGTTCCTTGAAAGCTGGCATCTGTGCACCTTCTATTCAGATGGAAGGTACTGAAATCATCATAGACTGGCAAAAATGGCAAAGCGCAGTGGTTCACACCTGTAATCACAATACTTTGGGAGGTCAAGGCAGGCAGATCACTTGAGCTCAGTAGTTCGAGACCAGTGTGGGCAACATGGGAAAACCCTGTATCAACTGAAATAAAAAAGTTAACTGGGCATGGTGGCATGCACCTGTAGTCCCAGCTACTCAGGAAGTTGAGGTGGGAGGAACGCTTGACCCTGGGAATTCAAGGCTTCAGTGAGCTGTGATCTGGCCACTGTACTCTAAACCTGGCAACAGAATGAAACCTTGTCAAAACAAAAACAAAAACAAAACAAAACAAACAAACAAATAAAAAACACTCTATTTTTAAGTCCTCATTGCTAAATTTACAAATTTTTCTACCACAGGGTAGTAGTAATAGATTCCTGCTATTGAGAAGATCCTCCTCCCCACCCACCCACCCCCCCCCAAAAAAAAGAAAAAAACAAAAATTCTTTTCTCTCCCGGTATTTAGTAATCCCTTCTTTCTTCCTCTTTTATCAGGAAAACTGATATACTATTTTCAATGAGTTTTGGATTTTCAAAGGGCACACACAGAGATAAGAACTTTAGACTGCTTCTTGAAGATATAATTCAATGATTTTAACCAATATTTATACTATCCAGCATCACCTGGATTACAGTCAATCAAATAAAGTGTATGAACCAAGTAATCACACAATATCTGCATTGATGTGTTGCCTACATGAAGCAGACTGATCTGAATAACTCATCAAAAACATAATTCACATATATCTTGTTTACTCCATTTGCCAACATACTTTATTTCAGAGAAATTTTAAATTATATCTCAGCTGTTTCTTAGAGCTCCTTTGTGGAAATTACATCCTAGTTTCTGTTCCATACTTGAGTAAACTATAGGCTTTCCAGTACAATGTCCATTGACCAAAATCTGGAGCAAGAGAAATAGTATTATGGCAGTTAGGACACAGTAGCTGGAGCCAAACTATCTAGGTTCAAATTTTCGCTCTGTCACTTACTAACTCTATCCTTGAATGTATCGTTTACCCTTTTGCCTTATTTTCCACAACTGTCATCAAAGGGAGTAGTAATAGTATGTGTTAAGGTTATCAATTAAATTGAATGTGTTAATATATGCATCACTTAGAACAGCTGTGTGGTGTATATATCTATATCTATATTTATATATCTATATTTATACAATCATCCCTCAGTATCCTTAGGGGATTAGGTTAAGGACTGACCACAAATACCAAAATCCATGCATACTCAAGTTCCGCAGTCAGCTTTATGGAAATCATGGATACAAAATGTTGGCCCTCCGTATATGCAGATTTAGCTTCCCACAAATACTATTTTTCTATCTGCTTTTGGCAGATGAATGTGAATGAGGAATCCAGCAATAATAATGGCCTACTGTAATTATTGAAAAGAATCTGCATATAAATAGATCTGCCCAGTTCAAACCATGTTGTTCAAGGGTAAACTGTATATCTCTTTTGGACTCTCCATTTGGGAAGACATGGACGCAGAGGATTTCTTCCTTTGCTTGTTTATTTTTATGTGAGTGTGGGCCCACATTTACCTCTATTGGCTGATCTAGAAGATTCACAGAGGTTATGTTCTTCATCTTGCTATCCCAACCGTCAGGTTCAAGACTTTGTATTATCTTTGTCTCTTACTTCACTGACTTGTAGATGTCCCTGGTCCTTGATCCATCTTTGTGAATTTAATGATTCAAACTCTCTTGTTTATAGCAGGTTTAAAAAAACAGCTCTTATTACTAGATGTTCAGAAAAGTATTTTTTTTTTTTGTTTCTATTAAATTTAGAGGATCCTACCCATTTTTTTTTAGCATTAAAAAATATGAAATGTTTATTCAGATAAAAATGTAGTCCAATGTAGGTTTTCAGTGTCTTCTGGGTAAAAATGTTTAGTCTCTCAGACACCTTTCCTTCTCAGTTTTTGTCTCTTTAAGATAGTGCCTATTCATAGGGAAGGGGTTGGGGGGATAAATGGAACTTATTTTATAAGGTTTCATGGCAAATAAAGACCTTCAGTGCTATGTCCTCAGACTTCTATGGTTTCCAACGAATTTGTTATGTGCTGTTGACATAGAATTGGTTATGTGTTGTTGACATCTGCTAGTGATCACTGCTGATTCTGTATCAAGTGAGTCTCTCAGCTTAGAAAGAATGTAAAAGTGATCATGTGATCAAGTGATCTTGATCAAGTGGAAGCTTCATCTCAGCTTCCACTGCACCTGTCACTTACGAAGTCTCGCTATAATTTCATTTTTCTTCATCTGGGGGATAGGAGGTAGTGATTCCTAACTCTTTGTGCAAAGACCTCTGACTCCATACAGTGCTCCCATCAGCCTCTTGGTAAATTCTGAATCCTGTTTAACTCTGGAACCAAGGGTGGTTCCAAAAGGCTACAACATAGGGCCTTTTCTCCCTGACCTGTTGCATTACTAAGTAATTATAGCTGAGCCCCTAGTCGTTCAAGTAAACCTTCAAGAAGAACCTCATCCCAGACTCCTGGACTATGGGCAAGAGTTTTCTCCTCATTGTTATTCCTTCAATATAATATGTAACATACCTCATGGGTAAGGATGGCTCTCATATTCTTATATAATCCTAAATTCAATGTCAACTATTAAGTATTATCTCTGACATCATCTCCATCCTTATTCTCAAGTAAATGAAAGCTATACAATAGGCCGGGCGGGGTGGTTCACGCCTGTAATCCCAGCACTTTGGGAGGCCGAGGCGGGTGGATTACAAGGTCAGGAGATCGAGACCATCCTGGCTAACACGGTGAAATCCCGTCTTTACTAAAAATACAAAAAATCAGCCGGGCGCCGTTGCGGGGCGCCTGTAGTCCCAGCTACTCCGGAAGCTGAGGCAGGAGAATGGCGTGAACCCAGGAGGCGGAGCTTGCAGTGAGCAGAGATCCCACCATTGCCCTCCAGCCTGGGCGGCAGAGGGAGACTCCGTCTCAAAAAAAAAAAAAAAAAAAAAAAAAAAAAAGAAAGCTATACAATAACATAGGGAGGTACTCAGAAATGCAAATGATGAAATGATGAAAGCATATTGTTCCCTCATGTACATGAAAACAAGCTCCTGGTAATTTACATGTGTTTTGTGGTAAAGCCAAATCCGGCCGGGCGCGGTGGCTCAAGCCTGTAATCCCAGCACTTTGGGAGGCCGAGATGGGCGGATCACGAGGTCAGGAGATCGAGACCATCCTGGCTAACACGGTGAAACCCCGTCTCTACTAAGAAATACAAAAAATAGCCGGGCGAGGAGGCAGCGCCTGTAGTCCCAGCTACTCGGGAGGCTGAGGCCGGAGAATGGCGTGAACCCGGGAGGCGGAGCTTGCAGTGAGCTGAGATCCGGCCACTGCACTCCAGCCTGGGCTACAGAGCGAGACTCCGTCTCAAAAAAAAAAAAAAAAAAAAAGCCAAATCCCAGTCAGGAGAATAAATATTGTGCATTGAAATTGTACCTCTGATTTCAAAATTAAAACATAAAAATTTTTAGTAGTTATATAATTATGTTGTATGAAATCTGTTTCTAAAATATGACTTTGACCAAGATAAATATAGGACACACAGTAATCAAAACAACAGTGGCAATTTTATCGGTAGTACTATCTACTTTCATGGGCAGAAAGAAATTCTGTGGAATTTCTTTCCCTATTTTTTTAGGTAAGTCATCAGGTTATCTGTTTTGCAAAGAAAACAATGATACTTGGATTTTAATACAACTCATGTCACTCAGTTTCCATGTCTATTTGTATATGTGAATTATTATTTTCCTTTAAAACTATTATTTATGTATAATGATAGATTAAAAACATATCTAAATAAGCCGGGCGCGGTGGCTCACGCCTGTAATCCCAGCACTTTGGGAGGCCGAGGTGAGTGGATCACGAGGTTAGGAGATCGAGACCATCCTGGCTAACATGGTGACACCCCATCTCTACAAAAAATACAAAAAAATTACCCGGGTGGGCGTGGTGGCGGGCGCCTGTAGTTCCAGCTAAGTCTGAGGCTGAGGCAGGAGAATGGCCTGAACCCAGGAGGCAGCGCTTCCAGTGAGCTGAGATCGCGCCACTGCACTCGAGCCTGAGGGACAGAGTGAGACTCCGTCTCAAAAATAAATAAATAAATAAAAAAAATATATATATAAATACAAGTTGTTTATTAAGAATACTAAAGTTAAGTAATGCAGAATTCATAGATTAATACTCCAGTTTAAAATTAGGTAGCTTATATAGGGACATTTATATTGTTTCATGGAAGAAAGTTTATTAGTGCTTTCCTTTCAAGCATAGACTAACTACATTAAGATTAAACACATTAAGGTTAATTTGAGAGTAGTTTTAATTCCGTTGGTACATACATTAGCCATATCTTTTCATTTGGGAAAAAACAAACAAACAAAAAACTGTAACAATAGCTACACAATAAGTCTGATAATATCTACAAAGAAACCATATGAGATTAGAAATATGAAACCTTGTATAAATCTCTCTTATCAGTCCCCATACAATTGTCTGAATCCCCATGGCTACAGTCAATTATGCTTCTTTCCCCCACACAGATACCAGCACCAATAAGAGAACAGTTTATTCTGTCTCTTGCAGTGATTTTTATGAATATCTCAAAATACTGATAATAATAAATGGGTCCAATCAATGCATCTGAAGGATGCTAATTCTATCCAGGAGACAATATTAACCTTTTTCACTGTGAGCCTATCAAATACTAGAGATCTAAGATGGAATAATAGCTTGAAATGAATTTCTCCATGAAATAAAAATAGAACTGATTGTTAATCTTTCTTGAAACACAGATTAGTAAAACTGCAGCTGTTTCAAGAAGTGAATATGTGGGAAAATGTCAAGTGTGAGATATTTTTCTTTCTCGACCAATTAAAAGTAATAACATGTCAACTTTGAGAATAATAGTGTGGGAAATAGTGGCAGTTTTTAAACTTTCTAAATAGAAATATCAAAACATATAATTAATTTCAAATTTTTGGTTAATTAAACACAAATATCTATTTATCTGTTGTATTTTGCTTTCATAGTGGACTTATAATGTTGATATGAAGAAAATAAAAATAGCTTTGTTGTTATAGCCTATGTAACAAAGCATGACAAAAACATCCAGATATCTAATCTCTCATTGCTCTGGGTCTTCTGCAGTGTGGATGCATAATTTTGTTATCAAATTGAATGGATATTTTTAAGGATATAATTACATGTTTCTTGGGGAAGTTCAACAATTTAAAATATCTTGTCAATGTTTTATTTTTTCCATTCCTCCAAAACTTAAAATTAAGTAGTGAGTCACTGATTCAACAAAATGTACACAAAATATGTCTACTAGTATAAATTATAAATGTGAAACTATAGTTTAGAACTCTCTCCATTACAGTTATTGGATTATAATAGAAACACATGTAATACATGTAAAAATGTATAACACAAGCTCAAGTTGAGTTATAAAAACATGTTTTGCTCATGAAATTTATTTTTTTACTAAATTTGATTAGTTGAAGTTTTTAAATAAATATAAACATTAATGAATTAAATAATGTATAATTCAATAAATGTCTTCTCCACATGCACCTTATGCTATGGAAAAATACTTATCCATTATTTCCAGAAATATTTATTGAGCTTTGAAATATGCCAGACACTGTTCTTGGAAGCAAGAACACATGAATAAATAAAAACATTCTAAATGTTGGCCTTTGTGGTACTTATGCTCATGTTTTATATATTAAATAAGAAAGACAAAAACTATTTTTGTGACATTTGCAGTTTGTGGTTAAGCAGGCAGCAAACTATTCACATAAGTCAACAGGGGAAGAACAGGTTGTAAAGATCTGAATGAAAGTGATGTGATACAGAATAATGTATGAAGGCCCATTGTAGGGAAAAGACAGGGAAGCCTTTTTGAAGTGATAACTCCATGGTGTGACACACTTTTAAGTTTGCCTAAGACAGTTTTAATTTACAGTTGTCCTAACAGTCTGTCAGAGTAGCCTTTGCTCCACTCAAATATTTAGGAGAATGACTAAGGTAAAGTAGGAGACTGATTGTAAGCATTGAAGCAGGTTTGGTAAGATAGTAACTGAGATCCAGAAATGTGGATATATTTGATACAAATAATCTAAATAATCTTTTCCATTCATGTATTTAAGTCACTTATCTATTCACAGAATAAGTGGCATTCAAGACTCAGAAGTTCAAATAACAGAATGATATACCACTTCCTGCTTTAGAGGCTCACAGCCCATTTGAAAGAGACAGACAAATAAACACATGCATATTAACTTAGGGCTACAGGAATCCTAGTGTAATTGGCAATGGGTAAGTGGATTACCAAGGAAAGAGAGGTGAATTTCAACTATATACAAAAACAAAAAAGATTCACAGAGTAAAGGACTCCGGACATGAGACTTAGAAGTGAATGATGGTCATTTCTCAGTTGGGATAATATCTCTGGAGGTTTATGAGGTCCTAACTTTGATGAATGAAAACTATAATTTTCCTTCAAAAATTGCTTACATTTTTTCTATAGAAATATATTTTTATAATTCCATCTATTAATATTTCTTTGAACTCCCTGTTACCTGAGAAGGCAATCTATTTTGAAATGAAAATAATAGAGGTTTAATATGTTAACCTGGAAACACTTTATAATACATACCACATTGAAGAGTTCTTAAATAAATACTCTTCTGTTCA